CGGTACAATTAAGGAAACAAGATCCTAAATCGTAGTATTACAATCCAATATTTTACCTATATATTGATTTTGTCTTGAATTTATCAAGTTTTATTTAATAAGAATTTAATAAATTTTAAAAGTTTTCAAAACAATTGCCAATGCCAATGCATCAGCTAAATGCCCGATACATCGGCAGGCTGATGGCGATGCTTAGTTTGATGCCAAGTTTGATGTTACTTCTTTAAATAATACTGAAGCAAAAAATTATTAAAAATTTTTAATTTAAAACATTAAGCATTAAAAACTCAAATTTTTTAATAATTTGCACCAAAAATAGAAAATCGGAAGAAGAAGGTATTGGTAGAAAAGAGAATTAACATTGAAAGCATTCAAAGAGCCATTATGGTTATTACCATTATGATTGACTACCAAATAGATTTCAACATTTCAACAAGAGGTTTTCATCTATATTTACAAAAAAAACTTTGGTACCTGCTTGTGTGATGATTTAAGTATGATGGACAAAGGGACCCTTAGCTGTTTTATTTTTTATCATTGTTTTTTAATGTATAATTAGTTCTCTTTATGAGACATCCAAAAAAGTAAATAAAAAAAAACACTTCTCAAAGAGATCTTGGACACACAGCTTTGCAGTAAGAGTTTAAGAATTGAGTCATACCTTTTAATATGTACTGTTTAAGTTTAAATACACAAAGAAGAGTTTTTTTTTTGCATGCATCTTTATAAATCTTTACCTGATCAGAAGTTATATTGATTTGAGATTTGCAGTTAATGACATCTAGGTACATACAGTTAAATGGTATACAGTTAATGACAGCTTAATAAATATTTTTGTTGCACTCTATGTAGCAATGACTTCTTTAAAGAAAGTAAATGTTATGAAAATGAAGTTGTTTATGATATTGAGTTATATAATCTACCAACCTAAAGGCTTTTATTCACAAGGATGTAGTAGTAAACTAGTGGTAAAACACTCAACTCACAATTAAGAGGTTTGAGGTTTAAATTCACCCTATCTACCTTATCCACCCTATGCCTTGAGACCTACCACATTTAAATTTTTTTATTGTATTAATAGTTTATTAAATTTAAATCAGCTTTCATGTACTTAAGTTGGCACTGTAGTTATTGACTTATAGTTGTTAAAGGTTGTTAGAGTTTAAACAAGGAATGATAGCTTTTAAAAAATTAAAAATGAAAATAACTAAAAATAATAATAATAAAAATAAAGAATATTTTTAAGTAAAATAAAAGTACAAGTTAAAAAAAAATTTTAATTTAAAATAATGCAACTTTCAAACAAAATAAAAAAGATTTTAAAAATTGATTGTAAAATGTACAATATTACAATGCATTATGGGTTAAAGAGTTAAAATGTTACTGGCCAGACATCAATAAGTACATTGAAGTTTATAAATATAATTTCCTGAGAAAATTGAATGTTAATTATGCAATATGAAAAAAAAATTTAATTACTAAGAGCAGAAAATTGTTTAGCATGTAATTTGTTAAGTTTAAACAAACATGTTTACAATACAATTTGTTAATTTTAAACAAACATATATACAATGTTATTATTTTATTTGTTGGATATTTTTTACATAGAATTAAATATTTTAATACATTTTTTTCAATCTTTTTGTTACTTTCTTAATTCTTAGTTTTCAAGTATACAACTCTCGGAATTAGGGTCGGCATTCGGCAATGCCAACCTAACTGTCGATCTGAAAGTATTTGAGGTTGACAAAAAATTGCTGACCTCGTTTTTATGTTTTATGTTCAGACCTTCGTATCAAATAGTTTTTGCCGACCTGATGCCCACCTTAAAAAGATTGAGGTCAGCAAATTATTGCTGACCTCATTTTTTCTAATTCCAAGGGTTGAGTATAGATATTTTTTATTTTCTGAGTATAGATATTTATTTTCATTTTTTCTAATTCCAAGGGTTGAGTATAGATATATTTGCACCTAATTTTTTAAATTTGTTTGTTTTCAAATTAAGTTTTCAGATCAATTTGTTATTTTTAAATCAATATTTGCTTTGGATAAAAATAAAAATTTGTTATATAAGTTAAAAGTATAATTAAAATCAAAAACTACAAAATTTAACATCAAAAAACAACAAAATTTTAAAAACTGTTTATGCAACACTAACACTTATCTGAACCATCAGGACATCAAGTTTGACATTAGTGAGTCTCTCCAACATATCTCGCCAACATATATATGTTAAGTTTGACATTAGTGAGTCTCATCAACATATCAAATTAAAATCTTAACATCTTAACATGTCCATTAATAAGTTTTACAAAACATCTTCCATTTAGGCCTTCCAATAGGCCTCTTTGAAAATTGGCCTAGTCCTGGAATAAGCGAAGCTGTTTACCAAAAAAAAAAAACGCTATTATGATCTGCTCTCTTGCTTCAACTTTTTTTTTTAACATCTTTGCTTCCAACAAGGCTGGAAGCAACCACTATTAGAGTTACTGGAAGAGAAAAGATTTATAGAGTTTATAGAGCAAGATAACAATTGATAGAGGACTTAAAGTTATATAAATCAGGAAAGCAATATGAAGGAAGCAAATTCCAAAGAACTGATGTTCCAGGAAAAAAACTAAACAAATAAGAGTTTTTAGAACACTTAGCAACAGTCACAGAAAAAGGATGAGACTTGATTGAATGACGAGTAACATGAGAATGAATTTTAGTAGGTGGCACAAGAGGTGCTAGCTCTTTAGAACAGTGCCCATTATAGTATTTGTAGAAAAAAGAAAGAGATGCAACATGACGAAGTGATAGTAGATGGAGGTTGGCTGCAAGAGCAGATTCAACTATGTTTACAATGCACTTTTGCACCCTGTCAAAAAGAGAAAGAGCATCATTAGAAGATCCACCCTAGATATGGCAACAGTATTTCATACAAGGATGGATTTGAGATTTATAGAAATAAAGAATAGAATCAATTGTCAAAGTACTACTTTAAGAAGTAGCAGCTCTTAAAAAAACCAATACCAATTTGCAAGTTCAAGTTGCTAACTGCTAACCATTGGCAGATCATCCACATTCATTAACCGATTCTAAAGTCATTTACCTTGCAGCTAGTCAAAACTGGGTCAGCCACTAACAGAGCTATTTTAAACACAGTGAATATTAAACCAGACTTCAACAATTGAAAGCTAAGAGAGCCATCATAAACTGGCCTGTTAACGCCACCAATATTAATGCTCCCACGGTTGATCAATCGGTGAAGGATATTTTAAAATATGTACATTACTGTGCTTCTTTCAAAGTTATAGGATGCATTCCAGGCATTAATTCAAACAAAATTAACAAAAGCTCAATTTATCAATTGGAAAGAGACACAGACAACTGTGTCGAAGTTAGCAAAAATGTCAATGCCAACAGCTTGGAAAAGAACCAGTTTATTAATTAGAAAAAAAGCACTTTCTGCTCACCAAACCAACGAGGCAAAAGTTGCAACATCCAACACATGACTGTTTTCCCACAAACAACAACTCACCTTCACCTACTTCACAAAGTATTGTTTTCAAATGATCTCTACACCTCAATAAACTCACCAGTCAGAACAAACATTGCCCTGGCAATGTCAGCACCTGCTCTTCCCAACTATAACATTTACAGAAAAGATCACTCTGCTCGTGGAGGAGGCATAGCCATTTATGTTAAGAGCTGTATTAATGCCAACAAAATTGACCATTCTTAACTACACAACAATTTTTAAATCAAAATCTGATCTAAACCAATCATCCTTAGATCTTAATGATCTTAGATCTTAGATGATTGATCTTAAGATCAATCATCCATTAATCTTAATTATCCCACTAGAATATCTAATCATCATCTGCCCTTAATCACCCACCTACCAACAACATTTGTGTCTCTGGCGAAATAGTGAAAACTTCTGTCCAAAATAGGCCGTGGTCAACAAAAAATTCAATGATTTAATAATCACCTGTGATTTCAATTGCCCAGATGTCAAATGGCATGATGACTGGATCAATACCACTGATGCCAAAACTAGTTTAGACATAAAATTTGATGAAATCCTATTTGACCTACATCTAAACCAGCATGTTATTGATCTCACTTTTATCCAAGCCAACAGTTTGTTTAAAAACATGTTAGACCTTATAGTTAGTAAAGCTTACGGAACATGCTACATGTTCTTTAACTAACTAAAAAGCAATAAAGTTTGTTTGTTTTAAACCATGTTTGTTTGTTAACCTAATAAAATAAAGTTTGTTAAAGCAATAAAGTTTGTTAACTTAAAAATATTGTAAAAAACATACAATATAAAATATTGTAATTTAAAAAAAAGTTGATTGAGTTGATAAATTAAATTGATTAGAAAAAAAGTTTTTTAACCCTTTTTTTTTTTTTTTTTTTTTTTTTGCATTCTATCTTCCAACATCCACACTTAAATCCCCAATTTTTCAGGTCACATAAATAAATGTTTAAATGTGTGACAGTTCTATTTGCTTATAATTCAGGGTTCCCACTCCTCCTTAAAAACCTTAAGTAACCTTTAAAAATAAAAACCTCCTTAAATGTTCTTAAATAACCTTAAAAAAAGTTAAAATTTGATTGCTCTCCTTATTTTCTCCTTATTTTTTTTTAATCATCTTGAAAGTTTTTTAAAGTGAATGGATTATACTTGTTAATAAAGAAGATTACTTTTTCTTTCATAAAAATGTCGTTTGCGACCAAATCTCCTTAAATATTAGGAAAATATCTCCTTAAATCTCCTTAAAATCCTTAATTTATGAATATAGTAACTTATAACATGTATTATGTTTATAACATGTATATAGTTTTTTATAACATATTTATAACATGTATATAGTTAATGATTGTTTGTTTAGTAAAAAAAAAAAAAATTCTCCTCAATATTAAATTTTAAAATCGCTATATTTTATTTTTTCAATAAGTTCACTTAAAGTTTATTTATCATTCGAATGCATTTTTTTAATTTTTAGATAAACCAATAATAACAGCTCAGATGAATCCTGCAGTTTATGTCAATCTTGGGACAGGTTTATCATTATCGTGCACTGCAAATAGCATTGAACAATCAAATTTTTATTGGTTCAAAAATGGAAAGCTTATTTTAAACAACATAGATGGGAGTCAAATAGTGGAAACAAAAGTTGGTAACAGTATTGTTTCTTCTTATCTGACAATCAATCCTATTTTAATTGATGATTCAAATGTAGTCTTCATGTGTCAAGCAAACAATAGTTTGGGAATGGATAGTAGAAGCACTCTTGTTAGTGTATATTGTACGTTTTTTTAATGCTTAAACTTTCTATAATAAAATAAACATTTTATATATATACATTATATTCTGATTTATAACTTTTTATCTAGTAGTATGGCCAAGCAACAAGATATATAATATATTTTGTAATTTATTAAGAAAAAAGAACAAAACTTATAAATATAAAAGCATTTAATAATTAGTTTTGATTGAAAAATAACTCTATTATTCTTTTAAATTTTTTTTTAATAGGAGAACATTCTGACACCTCCAATTATTGTCAAATCAGTCTTCTTTCTGTTATTAGCAAGGTCTTTGATAAACAAATTTCTCACATCCTATCTTGAGTCAAATAAATTATTGTCAGACAATCAATAAGGTTTTCGATCCTCTCGATTTTCTTGCTCTATGACTGACTTGTTAACTGCTGTGACTGAAAGATTTTATTGTGCATTAGATGAAGGAGGAGAGGCTAGGGTTATTGTTCTTGACATATCTAAGGCTTTCAACAAAGTTTGGCATGCTGGTCTCCTCTATAAGCTTGTTTCATATGGTGTATCTAGTAAAGATTTTGAGATTATCAAATCATTTCTTTCTAACTTCTTTTTTAAAGTCATCCTCGAAGGCTAATACTATTCTTTATTTCCGAATAACTTCTGGGGTACCTCAAGGTTCTATCTTTGGTCCTATTTTGTTTCTTATCTACATTAATGATCTTCCAGGCAACCTCATATCTAAAGTTGCTCTTTTTGCTGATGACTCAACTTTATACTCCTGTCTTTTTTTCTTTTTGATTGCTTAGAACAGGTAGCCAATCTTGAATCTGATCTCAAATTTCTCAATCAATCTGTAACAGATAGGGTGAATTCACACAGACTTGTAAATTTTAATTCCAACAAAACTCAGTTATTTACTGCAAACAACTATTACAATAATGACATTCTTATATTAATGAATAGTAACCCTCCGAGTCCTCTTCTTTATGTCTTCTTGGATTACTGTTTATTACTGACCTTTCATGGGAACCATATATACAATTGATTACTAAATTAACATCATAAAATAGCATAAGGTTGCTTCTCTTTATTGTGCTCGACATTTTCTTACTCCTGATTCCACTACCTGCACAAATCTCTTATTCATCCCTGTATAAAATACTGTTGTTATATTTGAGCTGGTTTTTCTAATGATCCTCTTTCTCTTCTAGGCAAGATCCAAAAATGCATTGTTAATGTAGTTAGATCACTTTCCCATTGTCATAAAGTTGCATCTCTATCTCTTTTCTACAAATACTATTTTGGTTGTTGCCCAAAGGAGCTATTATCTATATATCTAGTTCTCATTCTTGCTTGACTTGTCATTCAGCAAAGTCTCATTCAATTTTTGTATCTGTCCCTGCATGCTCTAAAAATTTTTATTTGTTTAGTTTTTTTCCCTGTACTTTCACCTTTTGGAACTTTCTCCCATCTATATATTTTCCTGACTTATACAACCTACAACTTTTCAAGTTTTCTGTCAATTGTTTCCTTGCTCAATAACTTTTAATTTTTATCAAATAACTCGTAATCTATTGAATGCGTCTGCTGACAACGCAAATAATTTTTGTTGACAACTTCACCATGACTGTTTAGATGTTTTGATGATTTAAATAAGTCAGAAATGAAAAATGAAATGCTAAATTTCAGCTTCAAAATAAAAAACTCCAAGCAAAAATTACTTTTTGTTACATTTTTATATGCGTCAGAAATACATTTGAAACTTATCTTTTGAAACATTTTATTAAATTACTCAAAATGTTTTTACAAGTTATTTCTTATGATTATTTAATAAATGAACAAATTTTTTTTTAATTATTGAAAAGTAAAAAATATAAAATTTTTAAATTGTATAAAGATTTTTTCCAAAAAGAAGCAAAAAATTTCAAAAAAAGTCTTTTTAAAATAGTATTTCAAAATATAAACAAAAACAAAAATAATGCATAGTTTATTATTATTTATTATAATAATGAACTATGTATTATTTTTCAGGGCTCGAATGAAGTGAACGCGAATTGCAATATCCGGAAATATCTGTGGTCATTAAATTCTTAGTTTTTTTAAAAACCGTAAACACTGTTTTAATGAAACGGTCAGTTTATCATATTGCAAAAAATAATGAAAAAGAAAAACAATAAATTTTCTACTGCAAAAATTATAACAGTCAAAATTACATATATTAGTTATTGTTTTTTTAAACAATAATTAACAATATGTAATTTAAGGATTATAAATAAAAAAAAGTTGCAAGACAAAAATTAATATTACTAAAGGTCTGAAAAACTTTCGCGCTAATTTAAAAATCAACCAATGAAAAACTATGCTTAAGCTATTTGCGCATTGTATGAAACTTTGTTTAAAAAAAACAACCAATTAAAAAGTATGCTAAAGCTACTTGCGCATTATATAAAACATTAAAATAGATTTTTATTTATGGGAATTATTTATTTAAAAATTTAAATGTTTTAAATTAGAATTTAATTATTTAATCAGAAAAAAAATTATAAAGTATATATATTTTTTTAAATATGTTATTAGAATTTTTTTTTTTTTTTTTTTTTTTAAATAACTATTAAAAATATAATAATCTACGTAAATATTTTTTATTAAATGATATCTATTGAGTTTAGTGATCAAAATAGTTTTACGGTTTTTAAAAAGCTAAAATTTTAAAAACCGGAAGCATTTCCAGATATCGCATTTCGCGATCAGTTTTTGTTTTTTTAAAGTTACTTTAAACTCATTCAAAGTTTAAAGTAACTTTAAAAAAATTAAAAAAAAAAGACTTTAATTTACCATAAAATTAATTTATCATAAAAATTTTTTATGTATGCCTACATAAAAATAATTTAAAAAATTTGTGTAAATTAACAAAATTTTTTGAAATATATTTTTTTAAATTTATACAAGTTTATTTTAAACAATCATTTTAATTAGGTTAGTAATTTATTTAAAGCCTTCGCGTAAAATAAAAACTTTAGAAAAGATCAACGATTAAAAGTTATTTTAACGTAATGATTTTTTTATTGCATTTAAATTGTTAAAACATCAAAACAGCTGTGGCTAAATCGTAAAAAAAAAAATTTATAAGCCTGGTCGGCTACAGTGTGGAATTGCACGCCATTCCTATCCAAGCCTGTAACTCACAACTTAATAGTGTTAGCTTGCAGCCTTGTTGGGGGTAAATCATAATGAAAAATATAGCTTACGTTAATTGAAAACACGAAAGAAATTCAGCGTTAAAAAAAAGAAATAAATTTGTGCAAACTAATTCATTAACTTTAATAAATTTTCTTTTAAAAATTTTCTTCTTAAATATTCTGTTTTGCTTAGCCGATTTCTTTTTAAGTGATATTTACTCTTTTTCTAAAACAAACAAAAAATTAAAAAAAAAATTTTTAAAAAGTTCAACAACTGCTATGATTATCCAGCATTAACTGCACAACTGATTGCCCAGATTAAACTGCAGGATTCATCTGAGCTGTTATTATTGGTTTATCTAAAAAAAAAAAAAAAATTTTTTTCAATATAGAATCATACCTTTTTATTAATTTGGATATTTATATGATCTTTTTCAGATATTTCTTTTTCTTTAACTAATCTTTCATCTTCTGTTTTTTCATCTAACATATTTAAAAAATCTTTTTCTGTTAAATCGATTGGCAAAAACTTTAACTCTTAATCGTCTTCGATTACTGTAGTTTCAGGCACATCTATAATTAAAATTGCTTACTTTAAACTTGCTATTTTTGAATGATTTTGCTATAAAAAAATGATTTTATGCAAAAATATATAATTTTTTCAGATTAATAAAATAAAAGAACGTTTCATGACAACCAAGTTAAATTTAGAAAAATTATGTAGCGAAATTTTTAATTAAAAAAATGCGTAAACAACTTTTAAAAAACTCTGTGTAGAAAAAAATCTCTGCGAAAAGTGTTAAAATTATAATTTAAATGAATTCAAAACATATAATATTTTTTAAACATCCAAAAATCAAAAATCCAAGCCTGTAACTCCCAACTTAATAGTGTTAACTTAAAGTCTTGTTGGGGGTGAATCAGAATGAAAAATGTGTATATATATTTTTTTAATTTTAAATATAAAAATTCAATTCATTTAATACATTTAAATAAATTTAAAAATTATCAAACAATTACACTCAAGGATTCCATAAAGTTTAATGTTTTATTTAAATTTGAGTTTTTTTTCCAATTACTTTAGTTATATTTTGTTACAAAACAGAATGTTTTGTTTCTAATTTTTAAACATTCTTAAAATTCAGTCCACTCTAATTGCAAATTTATGCTCTATTTTTGAATTTTTAAAAAATTTCTAGAACTTCAGTACATTTTTCTATTTTTTGGATGTATTTTATATCCTTTTTATTAGACAAAACCAGCAATAGCTTGAGACTCATTGCTAACAACAACAGCCACACATTTTGACTTCATTTTAAGATTCTTTTTTAACAAATTGCCAAACAGTATTTGTTTGTTTTTTTGTGGTGTTTTTTCTTGAGAATTTATTTTTTCCGTAATATTTACTTAATCTTGATATGTAATATGTCGTAGCTTCAATATGTTATGTCGTAAATATCAATATATTTGTAGCTTTAATTGGGTAATCATAGCAGTTGTTGAACTTTTCCATCATATGTGCTGCACTTACCACATTTGACTTCATCAATTTTTTTTTTCTTCTGTAAAATTTTCATAGCTCAGATTTTTTTGCTAAGATTGTAATGATGTAACGATAAAATGATGTAATGATGTTATGTTTTGCAACCATATATATATATATATATATATATATATATATATATATATATATATATATATATATATATATATATATATATATATATATATATAAATATATATATATATATATAAATATATATATATATATATATATATATATATATATATATATATATATATATATATATATATATATATATATATATATATATATAAATATATATATATATATATAAATATATATATATATATATATATATATATATATATATATATATATATATATATATATATATATATATATATATATATATATATATATATATATATATATATATATATATATACACACACATATATATATATATATATATATAAACTAATTATTTTAAATAAATAGAATTTTTGGAACAATTTTTTAAATTTACTAACATTTTAGTCAACTTAAATAACCAAACCAGTTTTATTTTTATTGATATTATTATTTACATTAATAGCACTTAGTTTATGATAAACAATATATGGCAGAGGTCAACATTAACATGTGACATTCAATTATCAAGATCATTTTTTAAAGTATATCTTTATTAGATTGAATCACCATCACTCATTTAAAAAACAGTTTTAACATGTTAGTTGATGATTTTAATTATCTTTAATTTTACTAAATTTAGACACTAATTTTTTATTACCTTAATTTTTTAATTTATTTTACTTTATTTTTTTTATTTATTGCTTTTGTTTTACAAAGATGTTTTTGAATGTGAATAAAAAACTAAAACTTTCAAAAAAAAAAAATTCTGACAAAATCCATTCCAAAAATAATGGATTAAGTACTTTTTTTTATTTTAAACAATGGTGAAAAATTTATGATTAGTGGAGAAATCTAAGAAACAATGTATCAAATTATTATTCTGTAATTTTTTTTTATTTAAAAAAATTATTTTTGAACTTAATTATTTGAATCAACAATTGCAATCAGCACATGATTATCTTTAATCTCAGCTGTTACACAGGATTGTCTTTACTCTCAGCTGACTGTTTTGACATTTGACACAATTGACTGTGTTTCTAATTTAATGTTAATTTAAATTTCTTTGGGTTTGAAACTAAATATTCAAACAAAACAAAATTTCAACAAAAAAAAATATTCAAGTTTTACACTTCTTTCTTTAGAGCTTTGAGTTTTTCAGTATTAATTTTTTTTCTGTCATCTATTACATAATGTCCTTTTTTTGTTGTTGTTGCTTTTTTAAAAAAAAATTTAACAACTTAGCTTATCAAATTAAAAAATTTATCATAAATATATTAAATCCCTCCTTTCCAATCGTAGTATAAATGTAGTTCTTGATGAACAGCACTCTTTTTCATATTCTGTAACTTCAGGGGTTCCTCAAGGTTCAATCCTTGGCCCTATACTCTTTTTAATTTACATTAACGATCTTCCAGATATTCTCACATCTAAGTTAACATAGTTCGCTGATAATACTACCATTTATTTTTATTATGATAAGAAGCCAACACTCTCTGACTGCTTGGAGGGGCCATTAGAGCTTGAAAATAATCTCACTGTTACACCATGGGGCTGTCAGTTGCTGGTGAACTTTAACTCAGATAAAACTCAATTTGTTTCAGCTGATCGCTATCATAACAATCTAGAAAACCCTATATTTATGAATGGTAGTGTATCTAATGAGTCATCCCTCAATGAGTCATCTCATCAAAGGATGACTCAATAGTCTGGTTTCATTTTGTTAATTAATTTGAAAATTTTAGAAAAATAGTTGTGCATAAAGAAATTTACAATGTGTTGTATTGATGATGACTTTATTTTAAAAAAATTAATATTGTATTGATAATGATATTTGTAATGATGGTTTTATTACTGCAATTCTGCAGCTATAAAACTATCGTTTAAAAAATAACCTCAAATGTTCAATTTGGCTTATTTTCCAAATGTTTTGTAAGATCAGCAAAATATATGTTCTTCCTCACATGTTCAATTGCATTTTTTCTATACATCTACATTTGAATATTGATTCCCTTTTTCATAAACACGTCTTGCATTTTATACATTTTTAATGGGATTTAAATCAGGTGAGAGAACTAGTCATTCCAATAATTCAATTTCCTTACTTGTGAACCATAAAATAATTGACATAGCTCTATGAATTGGATCATTATCTTGCTTTAAAATAAAATTTTACTTACCTCATTTTTTTGAAATTTAATTGAAATGATTATCCAACAAATTTTCTATTTCTATATTTCTTCACCATTTTATTTAGTAGTAATAAAACCAATTGCTCTTTTTCTAAATTAATTGAATGCACCCTAAATCGTTACTCCTCACCTCCCATAGTTCTTTTTTTTTTGAAAATATTTTTTTATTTTAATAAAAATTTTTATTAAATATTAAAACCCATTAGGACTATCATAGTTGAATTGTTTTTACCAGACATTTTTTTACCATTTTTTATGTCATGTGTTCCTTGGTCCATTAACCCTTAATTTCCACGCTTGTTTTACAACCTTAAACACCGCCCTTGGCTGCTGCAGCCAGAGAGTAAATATCAGGCTTCAACATTTCAAGTTTAGTAGGAGTTGAAGAATCCATTATAATATAAATCATTTATTTTAAAGAACAACAAAATTATGTATTATTTATGGTTTCTTATGTAAAATATAAAAACAAAATAGCAATATTATATGTCGGCGATAATTCTACGTCACTATTTACAAATATCACTAATAATTGACGAGTGCTCTCCACAAGTGTGTTTAGTGCACTTGGAACATGTCGATGACAAAGCTGACACACATGACACGATTTTCTAATTTTGAGTAAGGTATCTTGCGGTGGAATATTCTGTTCTGTAGACAGAGAAGCAATGGCGCGTTTAGGGCTAGGTTAAAATGCCCCTCTTGAATGCTCAATAATTCGGTGTTCCATTGCTGTTTTCATCATTTCCAGGCTCATTTTCAGCAAGAACTGTCGTCTTTTTGATCCACTATGATCACTTTCCCACTGTGGTTTGTTAAAGAGGAAAAAAATACTGGCGTTAATGGCAGCAAGGTTGAGGAGATGGCTAAACAAAGTCATTGGCCAACGCAGTGACTAGAAAATAAGATACAGATTTATTAAAGTTATAAAAATCATAAGGAAAAAACTATTGTTACTAAATTTTAGTCTGACCTTTTGCCATGTAGTGTATGCATGAGCTATTTGGTCAACTGTATCTACACCAAACTTAGTATTATTGTATTGAAGGATCGAAAATGGTTTTCGATGCACTTCTTCTGACACTTCAGTAGATGTGTGGAGAGTAGACAACATGATAACAACCTTGTTAGTTTTTGGAATGTAACTTACTAGCTGCATTTTTTCAGAATACACAGTTATAGAATCAAATTGAGCTTGAGGAAGAAGTAGTTGGGGAGCGAGGAGAGTGAGGTTCCGAGGAGGGTGAGGTTCCGTATGAAAAGTTTTTTGGCTAGCGGAATAGATGTAAAGAATTGGTCAGTTGTGATATTTCTCCCACAACCATGAATTGGTTCAGTTAGCTGTAACACCACTTGTTTCACTTGCCCTACTTCTCTTTCCCTAGCAATCATTCCTAAATAAATCTCAGCATTATAAAAGTAGCGAGACTTTGAGTTAACCCCCATACTTTGATACATACATATTTGTCAGGTTTTTTTTGGCATGTAAAGGCACTCGCCCATGTGTTGGAACTATTTGTTCATCAACACAAACCATATCAGAAACTATGAAGCATTAGCGATAACGTTTGAGAAACTGCTCCCATATGTCTCTAAAAGCTGCTAATTTATCACGTTGACGTCTTTCAGTACGTGTTTCCTTGTTGTCAAATCTCAGGAACTTTGTGATTAACTCAAATCTTTCACGAGACATTGCGGCTTTGTAGGCAGAAATTCCAAGTTCGTCACTCCACAAGTCTTTGAGAAACACGTTGCGTTGTCTCAAAGCACCCATAAGATAACGAATGCCAAAATATCCAACCAGTTCCTGCTCTGTTATGTCATACCTAAGGAGACCAATAAAAATATGAAAATTTATGTAAAGTATACACAATAATATAAACTTATCAAGACTTCATTATAAATGAATTATGAATGAAATTTTTTCATGTCTGAGAAAACCTGACTTGTTAATTGCTCGGTTCACTGTCCATTTGAGCATTTCAACCTGCTCCTGCAACCAACCTTCAACTATTGTCACATCGTCGTAATGTTTTTTTTTCTCTTTTGTATAAATACCATAATAGGCACTGCTCTAAAGAGCTAGTGTCTCTTGTGTCATCTACATAAGTTCATTCAATTAAGACGTTAATTGAATGAACTTATGTAATTGACTCGTAATTCAATTAAGTTTCATTCTTTTACTCTGACTGTTCCTTAGTGCTTCAAAAATTCTTATTTGTCTAGTTTTTTTTCCTTGAACATGAGTTTTTTGGAACTCCCTTCATCTTGTTTTCCTGATTCATATAATTTGCATTCTTTAAAGTTTTCTGTTAATCATTATCTTCCTCTAAAAACTCCATCCTTTCTTTTCCATTAACTTCCAACTCTAATAGCGGTTGCTTGCAGCCTTGTTGAAAGTGAAGATGAAAAAAAATCCAAAATTAATGTTATTTTGATTCAAAAAATGATCTACAAGTTAAATTTTTAAACTTTGAAAGGTGCTTTCAAAGCTTCTATACCGGTGAGGTTATAAATCTGCACTATATTGCAGTTTATAAAAACTAGAATATACTCGTAGAATATTTTATTTTTATACATTTTTAACATTTTAAATGTTAAAATTTTAATTTAAAAGTTGTTTATTTTTTCAATAGATGGCCCAAAAATTATAAAGTTTCCAGATCCTTTAATTGTAATCAGGGAACACACTTTCTACTCAATAACTTGCATAGCACAAGCAAATCCAAAACCTACCATTGTTTGGTTCAAAAATGGTGACTTGATAGTATTTAATGTAACTTCCTTCAGGTTGTTTGAAACTATTATTACCTCAAACAATATTGTCACAGTTATAAACAGCACTATAGCATTCATTAATGTGAAAAGAGAAAATTTTGGAAACTGGACTTGTCAAGCCAGTAATAATATTGTTAACAGTTACAGTGTTGATGTACAAACAACTAGAATCACAGTCACATGTAAGTTTTATTTTTGAATTTTGCATAATTTTCTTTCTTTCAGCTGTAAGCTTTTTTTATCAAGTTTTTGTTTTGTTTAGATCCTCCAGTTTTTGAGTTTTTATCATCAAATCCAACTGTTGTTAATGTCTCAAGTAATGTTATTTTGTTATGTCGAGTGAAGGCTTCACCAAGACCATATGTTTGGTGGCAAACACCATCTGGTATTCTACCTGACCAAAGATATACCACTACATTATTATATGCAGCTGATCAGTCTGAATTTGGATCTACTACTGCTGAACTAACCATCTTGAGCATAAAAAATAAGGAATATGGGCAATATATCTGCATGGCAAATAATACAATTGTTTTAAACTCTATCTCTGTAAAACTGGTTGTTCAATGTAAGTTATAGTGTAAGGTTTTTTGAAAGGATTGTTCTGTTATGATTTAAAATTAAAATAATTTTTTTTTTTAATTTTTTAAACTCTTAGATTAATATCAAGTTTTTAAAGTAAGTTATTATTATATAAAGTTAAATTATTGTTATATAAAATTAAATTATTGTTATATAAATACCATCATATTAACACAATCTCTCTAATTGGAATCTCTTTAATTGAAAAATCTCCATAGTTTGGTTAAATGTAAAGTCACTAATCACATTATAAAGTCAGCTTTCTATAATTTGTTTTTATAAATCTCTCTTATTTGAATTTTACCTTTGTTTCATAAAGTTAAAGTAAGAGTTAATCAACTTAAGTAAGAGTTAATCAACTTAAGTAAGAGTTAATCAACTTAAGTAAGAGTTAATCAATTTAAGTAAGAGTTAATCAAATTAAGTTGATTAACTCTTACTTAAACTTTAAGGTTCGTGTTTCGGAGTTAAAGAGTTGAGAGAGGGTTGTACCACGATTTGCAACAAAAAAATAAAAATAAGTAGCCTCCTCGACTGTAGTGGCCCCCTCTGGCCTTGGGGAGGTGGATAATTAAAGGAAGGATAATTTAAAAAAAAAAAAAAGATACATTGTGCTGTATTATGTAAATAATGTTCTGGTATAATTTAAAATAAAAGTTAAATTTTTTTTTTATTTTTTCAAGTGCATAAATTGATATCAAGTTTTTAAACTATTATTATATAAATATATAATATTAATACCGTATAAGTATATATATAATATATAAATAAATATAACGCTATATAAATATATATAACATTATTATAAATGATTTATTATTTTAATTTATCTATAGTTATTATAATTTATAAAAGTAGAAAATAAAGTTTATTGTTACTGTTCCAAGCAGCATATCTATAGAGTTGACTTAACATTTAAAGTAGCTGTGATGTCATGTTTATAGTGTTGACTTTAAACCCTAGTGTTAGAGTGATGTCAGGTACTACAGCAATAAAGTTGCTAAAGCGACTGATCACCCTATTGGTGTATTGTTTAGAACTGTTGTGGGAAATTTAAGGTATTTTCAAAAGCTCTATCAACCAAAATTTAGACATTTAAAGAGATCTTTTAAAGTTTTTGTAAATTCTCATAAATACATAAATATTAAATTTACTTATAAAGTAAATAATAATAATAATATAAATTTTGCCATGAAATTTGATATCAGAATTATAAAGTGAAATAATCTCTTTAGTCACTTTTTGGTAGTATGGTGCTAAATAACTAAATACCTTACTTAATTTAAACTGTATAATCTTGATAACACAGTTACTTAATTTAAACTGTGTTATCTGTGGTATTTGTGTTATCCTTATATTGTGGTAGTGGTGTAGTGGTAGAGCGCTCGCTTCATAAGCAAGAGGTTCGGAGTTCGATCCCCACCACATCCCTGGTAGTACTGCGCTCAACTTGTTTCTCCGCACAGCGGCCTTGTTCGTCAAGGTTCATGTTTCGGAGTTATAGAGTTGTGAGAGGGTTATAACCACAATTAAGTAGCCTCCTCGTCTGCAGTGGCCTTCTTGGCCTTGGGGAGGTAAATTAACAAAAAAAATATATATATATATCTTTTAATTTCACCTTATATAAATTGTTATGTTATGGATTTTTTTTTATTTGTTTATTAATATTTATTTATTCTTGTTGCTCTTTTCTGTACATATTCTATTAGGTTCAACTGTTCAGCTATCAGCCATATATCCTTCAGCTATTAGCTATATATCCTTTTTATAATACAGGTTCCACCCTGAAGCAGCTCCACTCTAAATTGTAGTAAATTTGAAATGTAATATATTGTATTTAAAACTTTTATTTACTTTTTTTTTATCATCCCTGTATTGGTTCCAGAAGGAGCCACTACAGTCATAGATGGTGAGTCAAGGAGGGTTGCACTTTTTTTAAAATTCATTTGCAGTTCTCTTTCTTATACCCTTAAACTCCGAAACAAACCTTGTCAAACAAGACGGCTGCACAGAGAAACAAAGTGAAAGTCTGCTACACAGAAGTTTAAAAGCTGCTGCAAATAAAGTGTAAAGTTTCTTGCTAAACAAGTTTAGAGAGAACTTTACACTTCAAGTTCTCCAATATCATTTGAGAACTTGACCATATCATTGGACAAAGATTGTTTCTTATGCATATGATTTAAAAGCAATGATGTAAGTAAGGAATCATATTACTAATAATATTAGGAATAAGATTAGATGAAGCTGTGAAAAGTTGTTTTTTTTTTTTTTTTTTCATTTTTTAATATTTCTAAATAAGTTGTGTTTGTGTTTTTTAATTAGACTGTGTTGAGGTAATGATGAGAGGTGAAAATATATCAAATGAGGTGTTGTAAGGATATACCAAATGAAGTGTGATGAGGTTATACCAATTGAGTTTGAGGCAGAAAATGTTTGAACTTGTTCTCCAATTTTTTTTCTAATTTATAAATAATTATAAACATTTTTAATTACTTTATTTATAAAGTTATAAAAATATTTCAGCATACTATTTTTAATCTACAAGAATAACTCTTCTTCATCTACAGTATACTCTTTATCTACAAGGCTAACTTAAATCAAAAGTTTTTTATTGTTTTTAGAACTATATAACTCAGTTCTGAGAGTGGCTGATAGTGTAAGGTTTGCAAACTCTGTAGTAGCTCTCCATCGGAAAAGCTGATTCTATCAACAGTTGTATAATACTAGCATTAACAATACCAATGTTGGTGCTTATAGTGCCAAAACTGTTTATGCTTTATAATTATATTAATGTTGTTTTGGTGACTTTAATGTTTACTAAATGGCTTGATCCTAGTACCTAGTACCACCGATACTATTGGCATTAAAGCTCAAAGTATTTCTCAATCTCTTAATCACTTTTGTCTTTCTACTTAAAATTGTATTTCCTGTGTAATCTTTTTGATTAAAGTATGCACTGAAAAATTCTTGTCTTGTTACTGTTTTAAGTCTTAGTTTTTTCTGAAGCTGCTATTTACAATTAAGTTAGAGTACTACTAAGTATAATTAACTATACATAGAAGTACTCAAAGGCTAATGCCTGTTGTTCTAAGATTACTTGTAAATCTATCTTTTAGAGGCGTGAAATCTCTCATACATCTATCTAATTACCTTGATAGCTAAAGTTTCTCAGTTGAACTCTTCAACATGTTAAAGGCTTTCAATAAATTCTGTCATGATCATAAACTTCTAAAGTCTTTTTCATAAACTTCCTTCAAAATAAAATTGTTGCAGATAAATTATCTGGTAAAGTTTGAAAAAATGGAAGTATTAAATTTTTTCTTGTTGAATTAAACTCTCCTTTATTTCCAGTAACTTATGGGATACCACAAAATCCACTTTTGGCTATGTGTCATTTTTTATCTATATTGATGATTTTTCTGATATTTACCTCTTTAGTGGCTCTTTTTAGTGATGACACAATCTAATCTTGATAAAAAAATGATTACTTTTTGATTCTGAAGAGCAGGAAGCCAAATTATTTTTTTGTAACAGCTTAGGTGAACTTTAACCCAAACAAAACCCAGGGTTTTGCTTATAGTTATCACACTTTGTTGAAGTTTTTATATTTTTGTTTGGCAACACTGTGTCCTCTACTTTACATCTTCTTGGATTCGCAGAAACCACATCCACATCAACATCTACATCCACTAAAATAAACATCCACATCCATTAAGTTTTCTAAATTAAATTTTTTATTTAGAAAACTTAATGGATGTGGTAATAAACCAGACCATAAAAAGTTTAAAAACTTCATTTTTTTTCTTAAATGATAGACTGCCAGCCCAAACTAAACCCTCAGTCGATGTAGCAGCACTCCCTTGCGAGTTAGACTATTTGTCAGTCGATGTAGCAACACTCCCTTGCGAGTCAAGCTATTTGTCAGTCTTTGTAGCAGCACTCTGTTGGGAGTCAGGATATAAGATAGTTGATGTAGCAACACTCCGTTGCAAGTCAGGCTATAAAATAGTCGATGTAGCAACACTCCCTTGTAGCATCAGGTTATAATATAGTCGATGTAGCAACACTATGCACATGTTTTAAAAATATATATTTACATAAAACAACAACAAAAACACCGTTAATTAAAAAAAAATTTCTAGTCATTATTATTGCAGTTTTTTTAAAAAACAATAAAATTTAATGTATTTTCGCATTAATTTAATTGCTTTGACATTTTGACAACAATAAAATACAGCTAAAGAGTTGAGGTAGGAAAATTGTAGTCAAAAGAGACTTTTTTTTTACCATAAAAGTCTCTTTCGACTATGATATAAGGATATATATATATATATATATATATATATATATATATATATATATATATATATATATATATATATATATATATATATATATAATTTTATATATTCTATATCTATAGAATTTTTTCCAAACAAAATTTACTCTAGACTAGCATTTTCAAATTTCTTTTTTGAATGAATGAATGAGCACTTTATTGATATGAGCAATTTATTGATAGCAATTTATTGATAGCAATTATTGATAGCAGATATTGATAGCAATTTATTAGTAGCAGTTTATTGATAATGAGCAATTTATTGATAGCAATATCAATTAGCTTTTTATGTCAAAGTGTTAATATTGGTTAGAAATATAATAATAAAATAAATAATATAATACAATCACAAAAAAAATTAAACTTTGTTTTAGTTAGTATGAAGTATTTGGTAAGTTTTTGAAAATCATTTTTGCTTTTTATTCAAAATTAAAAATATTTTTTTCTTATTTCCCAAATGTTAGTTGTTTTGAAATGACTCGTTCACTTGTTACTTATGTTGTTTTGAAATGACTTTTTTTTTTTTGACTTACTAAAAAGATAATTTAAGACTTGTTGTTAAAGACAATTTTCAAAATTTCTTTTAAAAAGTATTCTAAAGTTGACTAACGATTTGTTTAATTTTTCATTTTTATTTTGTTATTATTTAATCTAACTTATTTAGATCCACCTACAGCAGTTTCAGATTTTCAAATTCCTTTACAAACCTATCCAGAGTTTTCTATTAAGTTCATTCAAGTTGTTGTTGATGCTAATCCTCCTGCAATTGTGGAATGGTTTATATCGCGTGATAATGGTACTTCATATGTAAAATTGACTAGAAATATTCAGACAACCCAATTAAATATTGTACTTGATTTTGAGTATAAAGTTCAAAGTCAGTTTTATTTTCCATCTGGTAGCTTGCTAAGAACAGACCAAGCATTTTACAAAGTGAAAATATCTCATATATTTGGAGTAACAGAGTTGCTGACTTGGCTTGTTGTATATTGTAAGTGACCTTAATTATGGTTTTAGTCTCAATTATGCTTGATTTTATGGCATTGTTTTTAATTATTAATCACTTTATTGTTAAAAGAGTGTATTGCTATAGTTACTTGTTGGTTAATTATTGAATATTATGTAAATGTTTTTTAGATTAAATTATTCTTAGAAAATTTATTTAAATCATTTAATTCTTAGGGACACCTCAAATTGAAACACAAATTGCTAATTCACAAACAATCATGCTTAATCAAAAGGTTTCTTTCATATGTCGTTTTTTCAGTAACCCAATGAGTCAAATCAATTGGTTCAAAGATAATGTTCTTGTTACCGATGTTGGTTATTTGACGACTCCATTGAAAGTTAATTTATCAATGACATTAAGTGAGAGCACATTTACATTATTGAATGTATTAAAAAGTGACAAAGCTAATTATTCATGTAACGCAACCAATACTGTTGGTTCAGCAACAATGTGGCATTACTTAGATGTGCTTTGTAAGTTGAGATTTTTAAATTAGTTATTTAGTGTTTGATGGTGATCATGATGATTATGATCATGATGATTATATTCTTTTAGATCCGCCAAAGTTAATAGCCACATCTTCTACGATTTTTGTGAATTTAGGAAGCGATTTTTCACTAAGCTGTGAAGCAGATGCAAATCCTCCAGTCAATCAATACAATTGGAAAAGGATGAATGAATCTTTAGATTTTAACAAAGAAATTTATGTAACAAATGCACAAGTTAGTAAGCTTTTTTTTTTTTATTTTCTCAGATTTCATATAATTTATTATTTTAAATTAAAACCATATTTATATTTAACTTTGTTTGTAATGTTTGTAATAACTTGGTTTGTAATTATATATTTACAATGATTTCATCAGCTATATAATATATATTTGTAATAGTATCATTTACTATATTATATATATTTATATTTCATTTAATAGCAAAATACTGATGGCAGTTATTCATGTGTGCCAGAAAATAGCATTGGATATGCTGACACAGTGTTTTATTGGGTTTTTATAATTAGTAAGCCTTATTATCCAATTGATTTAATACCCTTTTTTTGTTTTAAATTTTTTCTTCCTTGTGTTGTTTTTTTTTTTGTTTTTTTTTTTGTAGTTTTAAATATATAGAAGATTGATGTTTAATGTTTAATAGAAGTTTAAAGTTTTATAATAATATGCTTAGTTCCACCAAAATTTACTTTACCGGCAACATGTGTGAAATTCACTAATACTTACAGTTGTAACTGCCAAGGTGATGGTTTTCCTACTCCAGAAGCATACTGGACAAAATATCAAAGTGGCGAAATTATTATCAATGGGACATCTTTAAATGTTACTTCAAGTCCATCAAATGATGGGACATATGTTTGCCACTTGAAGTTGTTTAACTACGAAATAACAACATATTTTCAAATTGCTGATTTTAGTAAGTGCAGAAATTAGATTTTTTCTTTCTCATATCTATATATATAAATATATATATATATAAATATATATATATATATATACATACATATATATATATATATATATATATATATATATATATATATATATATATATATATATATATATATATATATATATATATATATATATAAATTTTTGTATGTTTGTGTGTTCTACTTATTCTTGAATATAGTTGCAACATAATCTAGAACTATATTTTGTATCATTATCCTGCATGAACACAAATTCAGGGCTAATTAGTTGTAAGCTATTTGAAATAGGATTATTTTTTTGATGTTTCATGTTTTTTTCTCGTTATGTTGTCAATTTTCACAAGGTCTCTAGTGCAAGAAACATCCTCATACCATCACAGACCTATCTCATTGTTTCACTGTTGAAACTACTTACCATAAATCTATTTTTTCTTTTGCTGTTTTTATTATATAGGCACTTCTTTGGTTACTGAAAACATTTTTCAACTTGTATTTTTGGGTCCGCTCCATTTTTTTTGCTTTTTGCCTAAACAGAGGTTTCAATACTGCAACACAACCAAAAAAGCGTTTTGTTCTATTTACAAATTTTGTCTTTGGATGGCTTCTCTGTCAGTATCTTAAACAGCACTTTTGTAACCATTTTTTAAAATATCACAACTTTTGTAACCTTGTGGATGTTAGTATTGCAGAACGCTTTGTAATAGTTAAATTTGACTTTCTAAAATAAATTTTTAATCAGTTAATGTTTATTTAAAATCAATTTTCAATCTAATTCTACGCCTTACCAAGGTGTAATCTTCACTTTACCAAGTTATAACTTATGTTAACTAAATGAATATAGATTCAAATCATATATAAAATATTTTTCATTTTTTCAATACTTATATTTTTTAAGTGATACGCATGTTAAAAGTAATGTTAATAAGCAAATGTTGACAGCAGACAATACCAATGTAAAATTAGCATTTCATTAAGAACGCACGTTTTGTTGTTCATCATTTTGTTATTATTTTCTTATTATTTTATATATTTTTATATATTTTATGTATTTTCTTATCGAGTTTAATATTGATTCACCAAAGTTTACATATTTTAAGTTAAAATCACTGCTTACTATTCTTTAGTCAGAGTAGCTAAAACAATTAACAAAAAGGTTATTTTTGTTACAAAAATGTTAATTTGTGTGTTACAAAAATGTTATTTGTGTGTAACAAAAATGTTATTTTTGTTACACACACTTTTTCACACTCATAACAAATTTGCGTGTATTTATAAAAAAATTTTATAAAAAAATTTTGGAATAATTATAACAATTATAACAATATTGCATGGAATATTTTAGTTTATCAGCTTTAAAAATTGCCTATTATCTACAAAGGGTAGAAATAAAAATATTTGTTTAAAATCTATATTTAATTGCAGTTTTAGTGAACAACAAACAACATGATATATATATATAAGTAAATGTATACATGCATACATACATACATACATACATACATACATACATACATACATACATACATACATAAATACATACATCAGCCTTCCGAGTTAAGATCAGCATTTGTATACTTACTGCATATCTATGGCTGTGTTTTTCAATTTTTGAGCTTTAACTCAGATTCTTTTTCAGAAAATGAATAATAACAAGGAAGGCATACATTTTTTGCTGTAGTTAATCTGACAAGTCCTCCCCATCCCCAAACCTAAACTTTCAACGTATGTACTAAATCCTGTCTATGAGATATGATGACATTAATTACACTTTATGCACACTTTATTATACCATTTTAGGTATATATTAAATTAAATTTTACTGTAGAATTTGATATGCTTGGTACTAATGTGTTCTGGGCACTTTTGAGTAATCTATTATTAGTATTATTTTCTTGAAAATTATGCTTTATTGACAATTATGTTAGTTATATAATAAATTATGTATTAATTATGTAATAAATAATGTATCAATTATCTAATATTAAAATAAACAATGTAATGTTGATAATTTACATAAAGTTTTACAAAAATATTTAAATAATAATAATTTCAGCACCAATTTATGGCGTTTGGAGCCAGTGGAGTGCCTGTAATGCCACTTGTCGCAAAGGTATTTCAATACGCAATAGAGTATGTATTTTGCTACCTTGTACTGACCAACTTGTAGAAACAGAAGCTTGCTCAGGAAAATGTCCAGGTAATAATTTGACCATCTAAACTATATCGAAATTGTGTGGTTTTTTTAACATTTTTCTTCAAGTACCGTAGAGGACTTCTCACGCCGGACATTTAAAATATATATTTTTTATTTTTTGATTTGAGAATGCTAGTTAATAATTGTTGTCATTTGCATATTATAGAAAAATCCAAAAATTTAGTTAGTTAAAAATAGCTATAAAACTTTGTTTTTGGTGCTGTTTTTTTTCTCTGTTTTGTTTTTGATGTCTTCAGAGACTTGATGGATTATTATGATTTGTTTCTAATTTTATTTTTAATTTTTTTAATTATTATTTTTTTATTTTTAGCTCCACTGACACCAGAGAGTGGTACGTTTTTAAATAGTTTTAACATTTTTTAGTAACTTTAACATTTTTTAGTAACTTTTGTTTTTCTAAGGTAATTTTAAAAAAAAAATGTGTGGAGACCTGGTTTCTATTATATTAAGGTAGCAAAAAAAGCAATTAGTGATTATGTCTTAGCATAGTATTTTTCAAAAATTATATTTGCATAAAATTGAAAATAAAAACATTGGTTTTTAAATTTTAAAACTTGGTTTTGATAAACTTTTATAATTGAAAAGCATTACAATTAAAAATTCATTACCTACAACAACAATAACAACAGCAAAAAGCAATATATTTACCAGAAATGTAGATGTTTTACAATTACACAAAATATGACTTCATTTCGGATGGTTCACTTTAATATAGCCTAGCTAAATCAAGGAGAGCGACCATGAACAAAACAAAAGATATGTGTTGGTTAATTAAAATTATGTTTTGCTTTTATAAGTACTTATTTAATGTGGTACTGGTGTAGTGGTGGAAGGGTTGGTTCATAAATTTTCGAGTTCAATCCCCACCATGTCTCTGATAGTACTATGCCCAATTTTTCTCTCTGTACAAGAACCTTGTTTGTCAAGATTTGTGCTTTGGAGTTAAAGAATTAAGAGTCGTAACCACATTATTTTCAAAGTAGCCTTCTTAACTGTACAAAGATGAATAACAAAATTTAATAAAGTTTTTATCTAAAAACTTAATCTAAGACTTTAAAATATAAACCTTTTTTACATATAAATATTTTTTGAGACACTAATCTAATCTTTTATGACTGTCGTTTGGCTAGTGTAATAGTTATTTTGGTTAACGTTCACAATATTTTGTGGCTCTCCTTTGATTTTCATTTTTGGTAAATATTTGCTTGGTATTCTATGACATCAAATTAAGATGTTACTTTATTGAGTATAACCAACCATAGTTGGGTAAACAATACAAAAGTTTTATTAAGTATAACCAACCATAGTTGGGTAAACAATACAAAAGTTTTATTAAGTATAACCAACCATAGTTGGGTAAACAATACAAAAGTGTTAAAGTTATTAGAATAATAATAAAATAATAATAGAAATTTAATTTAAAGAATATACAAATTAAAAAAAAAAGTATATTTAAAAATTGGTATTTTTTTATATTTTATTCTACATTTGTTGTTATTTTATAAAGACAACCGTATAATTGTAAGATTTAGCAGTTTAATTGAATATTCAAATATTTATATACAAAACATAATTCCTGTATTTTTTTCCCAAGAATCTTATCACTTTAAAATTCTCTTCTCATGTTTTTCAGATTTATTTAGTTTACAACTTTTTGTCTTTTTTTTTTTTTGCTTTGTTTCTGATTTTATTAAAAGATAATGAACAATATTTTTATCTGAAAATTTTAAATTAAAGAAAGAAAATGGTTGTTTTAAGAGCAAAAATAAAGAGTTACATAAAAAAGCAAATATGTTCAAGAGACATTTAAAAAACTCTAAAAACTTTATTTAAAATACACAAGTTAATAAGTTTGTTCATAAGCGAAGTGTTTTAAGTTGCATTTTTTACTGATGTTTTATAAAATAAATTCAAGCTCATTATTTTCAAATGGCAAAAGACCTATATATATATGTTATTCATATAAAATTTTATTCATAAAAAACACACAACTTTTTGTCTTTTGTAACTTAAATCTTATAGTGGCAGCCTGAAGTTTTATTAGGAGTTAATTTGTATTTTAGTATAGAGTTTAAGACTCATTCTAGTATTATTCTGGTATTACAAACACCAGAATAACAGTAGAATTGCATTTTTTTGTTCGTTGCTCAAGATTTTTCTTGCAAATATGTGTAGTGGTAGAATGCTAGGTTTTTAAGCACAGAGTTTATATAAGAAGCAAAAGACACAAAGTTTTAACTCCAATACATTAATATTGAATTTCTATGATTTTTCAAATATCCATGATTTGAATGATACCAGTGTTTTTCAATCAATAAACCTTTTAGGAGCTAACACTGTTGCAGAAGGCACAGTATTTGAAAAGTTTTAACAAACAGAGAAAAATGCTCTACATGTTAAAAGAGAATATGCAAGCCATTCTAGGTTGTTTTTTTTTTTTTATTATTAACTTCTGTCGAACAAAAAGTAGCTTATGCACAAAAGTTGTACTGTTTATAAAACTCACTCAGAATTTTAAAACAGTTTACAATAAAGCTGAGCTTGAGGGAGGATAAATTCTAAAAAATTTTGTATTAAATTTGGTTACAACCCAGTCTTTTGAACAATATATATTTTACAGTGTTCATTAATCAAAATATATTTGAAAACATCACTATTTAATTTTGTAATACTTTAAGTTTGGTGTATCTTAGTAGGTTAGGCCACTAGAAAATTCAGCATATCTCTATTAGCTTTTTGTGGCTTGGTTACGCTCAGTAAGCTGCTTTTAATTTAGATATAAACATTCATTCTGAAATGGTGCAGTGGGTGGGTTTTTGTGAGTGTTTCCTCAAAATACAGCTTGCTGTATACTTTGATTAGATTTTCATTCAATTCAAAATGCTACTTAAAACATACATATATGCAGTGTTACAACACCTTTTACCACTTTCAAATCTTTTACTTTATGAGAATCTAAAATTATTTATTTAATATACTATATATATATATATATATATATATATATATATATATATATATATATATATATATATATATATATATATATATATATATATATATGTTATACTTTATATATATATTTATATATATATATATATATATATATATATATATATATATATATATATATATATATATATATATATATTATAAATATGTATATATACCAGGGTTGGTACCCAAACCCAAAAACCCACCCAAAAACCCAACTTTATGGGTTTTTGGTCTTAAATTTTTAATTTTTAATTTTTTTGTTCATAAATCAATTTCCATTAACACACAAGATTTGATGCTGCTCAACTAACAACAAAAAATGAAGTTTAGTAAGTCATAAACAAGAATTTTATTTTACTTGGAGCAATAATATTCAAGCTTAATCATTTAAAACAAAGTAATCTAAAAGTCATCAGCAATTGTGCATCTTGATCTTAAATGTCTGTAAATTCGTACAAGCATTTCAGCTTTTTCTCTTCCTAAACGATTTCTAATTTTGCTCCAAATAATCCCAAAAGATGAGAAAAATCTTTCTATGGATCCAGTACTATCTGGACAAGTGTGCAACTGCCGTAAAAATTTTGCAAAATTTGCAGGCAATTTGGAAGACTTAGATTCTTTCATTTCTATAATTCTCCACCAATTTGTTGCTGATGTTGTGCTTTTAACACTATCGTTGAATAAATATGTTGGGAAACAATTAGCATCTTTTAGTTTAAACGCATAATAGCCTGGCATAAATTCAGGATAGACTTCATTCAACCATTCCTCAGCTTCTTCTTCTTGACTTCTATCCAATGTTCTTCCTAAGTAAATAAGTAAAGTTATAAGAGTAGTAAACTTGAATAAAAACTTTACATTTGTTTTTATTAAAAATTAATCAGATGCAATACTTTAAGTTTTTTACAATTGTTTAGTTACCTTCATATTTTGGATCTGTTAAATTGGCAAGAAAATGACATGGAACAATTGCCTTCTTGAACCTCTTTAAAATATCATCTTTGTACAAAGCCAATTTTTCATTATGTATGAGGCTTTGCCAAATCTCAACTGCTTCAGACAAAGTTGTATCGTCTGCTTGCAACTACAGTAAACACAATAATTTTGCTAATAATTAGGTAAATAAAGTTAATGGTGACATTGTTCCTAATATAAGTGGTTTTAATATACTTAATATAATTAAATTTAATAAATCCAATTAATAACTAATTTTATTAACCTTATCTAACGCAACACCAACAATTTTCAGTTGTGCATATAAATTTATTGCTTCTCTCTGTATTGATAGATTGTCAATTAGGCTTTCTATCGAAGGATCAATGGATTCCATATGCTCACCTCTAATGTCAACGTACAGAGAATGATTAGATATGTATGTCTGTAAACAATCTAGTTGGGAGTTCCAGCAAGTATCATTAGGTAGCTGTGGCATCAGTCCATCTTTTTCCAATAACCAACCCTATAATAAATTTATTTAAGAAAATTTAACAAAGAAATATTAAAAAATAATTTTGTTAAAATAAAGCTAGGATCTCTTTTGCCATCATTATCATTAGGCTTATATCATTAACACAGCTGTGTTGTTTTATAGTATTGTATTACAGAATATGATCAACAAGTAAAGAATTTAATACATACATGTGGTTGGTGATGATTACGAAAATATTTATGAATTGCTATAATATGCTTTACTATAGACTTTGGAGAGACATCCTTTTCAACCAAATTTAAAAAATGAGCAGAGCAACCAAATGTTATCAACTTCAGCCTGCAAAAGTTTTCTCATTTTAGACATTTTATTTTCGTTGTCAGTGCATACTGCAAATACCTAAATAAAAAATGAAACATATATGTGTATATATATGAAGGCCTCAACGGAAGAACGATCAGAGTCACACTTTTGATGTTTTGAGAAAGACAATTTTTAAGATTTAAAACACCATCATGTAGTTCAATGAATTAAAATCATATATATATAGGCCATATATATATATATATATATATATATATATATATATATATATATATATATATATATGTATTTATATGAGGCCTTATATATATATATATATTCATATATATATATATATATATATATATATATATATATATATATATATATATATATATATATATGTATATATGAGGCCTTATATATATATGTATATATATATATATATATATATATATATATATATATATATATATATATATATATATATATATATATATATATGTATAAGTATTTATATGAGGCCTTATATATATATATACATATATATATATATATATATATATATATATATATATATATATATATATATATTTATATATATATATATATATATATATATAAATGTATATGTATATAGTATATATATATACATTAAATAAAGCAGTTAAACATCTAACACTTACATCTTTATTGAACGTTTCTTTAGCAATTTTAATTGCATCCTTAGCAGCTTGAGCGCAATATTCTGCTGTTTTTGATTGGCTTCCAGTGTCAATTGCAGAAATGAGATAAGGTTTATTTTTACTATGGATGCTATGAGCAATTATAGGATCATTACTGAATGTACTCCAACCATCTTGAATTAGGGTAACAGCACTATCATCAGCAAGATCATTTTTCATTAAATTGATTACTTCTTCATTTATCTTTACTAAGAGTTCTGAAGATATCTGTTTTCTATTTGGTGGCTCATATCCAGGTCTAAGTTTTTTAAGCAGCTTGGTAAATTCAAGATTTTCTACTACGTTGAATGGTATATTTGCTGAAAAGAAAAATCTTGTAACTTGTAAATCCAGTTCATCCTTCTGATTACTTGTTGTTGTAGTAACAAATTTAGAAACAGATGTTTGCTGTTGCATCGTCATTGCAGTTGACTGAACAATTGACGAATAAAAAGAATCACTAATAAAGCTTAAACCATCTTGCTCATTATCATCAGACAGGCTAGACTTATTTGATGCTGCAGATGTAGATGGCCTTGACTCTAAAACTGATATATCACTTAACACTTCAGCGGAATTATTATTGCTTCGTTTATTCTTTCTTCTGCATTTATCCAAATGGATCTCTTGAAACTCTTTCTATTTTTTTAATTATGCTCACTTTGCAATAATTACATATTACTCTATTTGGTTGATCACTTAATATGGTCACTTCATTCCACTCACTAGCCTTATTTCTTCCCCCTGAATGATACTTTGGCATGTTGAAGACATATAATCTACTTATATTTTAAATTTAACTAAAAAGATAACTCTATTTAAAAATAGATTTATGTTATAAAAAAATGCAATCTGATTATTAATAAAGCTTTTGTATAAGAAAATATACCTGTAAAAAATGAAAAATAGCTTTATTATATTATAAACTATAAATTAATCAAACTTTGATTACTAAAGATTTATACCAAACTTTAGCAAAAACCCATCAAAAACCCACCCAAAAACCCAGCTGGGTTGGGTTTTTGGTCAAAAACCCGGGTTTTTGCCAACCCTGATATATACATATAATTATATATTATAAATATATATATATGTGTGCGTGTGTGTGTTGTTTTAAAAACATCAAGAAATACAGTTTTTCTCAATATAAATCAACAATTTAAAACAAAACAATTCCAAGACATTTTAAATCAGCAAGCTGTTATACAAAATACATTATATAGATAAAATAGTTGAAAACAAAATAAAAAGACTTTTTTTATATAACCATTATAAATAACACGGGAAAATATGAATACAAAGTATATCAAAAAAAGACAATCACTAACATTCAGCTAAAACTGTATTAAAGAAATGGGAGATCATCATTTTAAAAAAATTTTCCCACAAAGTACAATACTGTAAATCTCATTTGCAAAACGAAATAAATTTTTTTAATTGACATGTTCATTGAAAACAGGTACAATAAATAACAATTGAGGAATATTACACATTAATTTCATCAAAAAAGACACTACAGGAAAAATTTTTCTCTTTTCCTAATTTTTTCCTTATTTCACTTGGGTTTAACAGCTCAGTCTAGTCCTTTGATGCATATTTTTCCATTTTTACAAAAACACAATTCCTTGCAGTAATTTTCCTGTAGTGTCTTTACTATGGGTACCAGGCCTTTCACTATAACTTCAACAGTATTTAGATTAAATCCAAAGATCTCAATTAACATCAAAAAACAAATTAAAACTACCTATTAACAGCAAGCCTGGAACCTATAGAACAAAAGTGTTCCAAAGTTTGCATAAGTGAAACCAGGATTGGCATTAAGAAACTCACCCATTAAAACCCAATAAAACCGGTGTAATCTGAGTTTCATTGGGTTTTTTAAAGATATTTAATAAGTTTATGAACTATTATAACCAACTTTAACATTATTACTATAATATTATTAACTAAAATAGTTGTTAACTACTATTATTAGTTGAATTATTAATTATTATAACCAACAATAACAGCTAATAACAGCTATCAGAGCAGGTTTACTAATATTTGAATCATTATTTTGAAATACATTATTACAATTTTTATTCAAATATTTTTATCAATTGAGATTTTTAATCTTTTATGTAATTCACCTCCCAAGGTGAATTTAAATAAGTAGTAGTGGCCAAAGAAAGCCATTACAGTTAAGGAGGCTATTTTGTTGTGGTTACAACCCTCCCTCAATTCTTAAACTTTTAAACATGAATCTTTATAAATAAGGTTGCTGTGCGGAGAAACAAGTTTGTTCATTAGAAATTTAAGTTCAAAGTTTAATTGAAACTTCAGTTACTACCTCTCATTCTCTAGCCTTCTTTTCACCATTTCTAATTAAATAGAATAATACTTTTTAATTTAAAATCAATACATACAGATTTAACTTGAATTTTTTTTTATTATTATTACAGTTATAAATTATATTTAAAAATCTTTTTCAAAAAATTTGAAAAAGAAAGTTCAAATTCTTGTTATAAAATTTTAAATAACAATATATAAAATATATTTTAAGTTAAAGTAGAAAATAAAACTAGTTTTCAATATAATTAAACAAAAAAATAAATAAATTTTTTAGAGAGACGAAATAAAAATAAAAACCAAAATTACCCAAAAAAAACCCACTGGGTCGGGTTTTTTTAAAAAAATTCTGAGTTTAAGTCAACCTTGAGTGAAACCAAAATGCAGTTTAATATGCAGGTGCATCGACATCAGAGAAGAAACCTTATCAATCTGCATTAACATTTCATGAAACCTTTTGCAAAGTAGAGATTATTTGCAAAGAAGAGATTATTTACAAAGAAGAGATTATTTGCAAAGAAAAGATTATTTGCAAAGAAGAGATTATTTGCAAAGAAGAGATTATTTGCAAAGAAGAGATTTTGAGCGTTATTTTTTAAATTTAAATTTAAGCACAAAAGAAGCCATTTAACACTGATGTAGTAATAGTAACATGTTTATATCAACTATAATGGTAATATCAATTATAATGTTTAAAAAGTTGATAATGCTGTTATCTATAACTAAGCCAAAATTTCTGAAAAAATAAAATTGTTAGTGTTGAGAGATGTTGTATTTCTTGATGTTTTTAAAAATAGTATATAATATACTTTCATACAAGATGATTTTTAATGTTACATCTTGTTTTCTGATGATCAAGTTTACTGTTTTGACTTTTGATTGAAAAATAATTTTGTACACTGGTTTAAATTTATGCAGATTTATTATGCAAATTTATGCAGGCTTATTTTATTTATTAAAAAAACTTAATAGTACTATTAGCAGTGACCTTTTCAGCGTTTTTGACACAAAACCCTTGACACCCATTGCAACCAAAGTAATGATGAGAAAGTGTTGCAACACTTTTTTTTTTATAAGAAAATGTGAACAAAAGTGTATGCAAATATCTAACATGTAAACTTCAAATTATGCAATGTTAAAACATACTAAATCATATATCAAGTTTTACAGTTTTACTTTCACTTAAAAATTGCATTACGGCAACATCTCCTTAATTTTGATCTATAGCATTTATTTCCATTAAAAAAATTATTATATAGTTTTGAAATTTTTGTAAGTCAATGTGCCAGCATGTCAGTGTGCCAGCGTGGCTGATGTAATATAAGTAAACTTTTCTAATAATTAAGTCTTTTTTGCTCAAGCTGTTTTGTTTTGAATATTTGTATGTATGTTATTGTATTTAAAAAAATTGAAAAAAACATGAAACATTTTGTTTCGTCAAAGTGGAAAATTTGAAACTTTAATTTTAGATTTGCCCCTCTCTCTTGATAATTTCTAATTGCTAAAATTATGTCATCTTCTTCTTAGCATGGTCGTTTAGATATTAGAAAAAAGTGGAGAGTTTTTGTTTTAAATGTTTTGGTCTAATTAGACCATTAAATAGGATAGATGCAGCTTTTTTTAAATCATTGAGGCCAAAAATTTTGCGTATATGTTACTTTGTGGCAAAAAACTAAAAAAAATTAGTAATAAAATTTTGTTTTAATTTTTTTAGGAAAGTTCCCTTTATTAAAAATATATTTTTTATGGGATATAATCTAATTAAGACTAAATATAGTAATTATTATGTTATTTTTTTAAAACTATTTATTTATTACTATTGTAGTAAATGTAAATTCTTATCTGCGAAATGATATATCTGTAACAGTTTTATCTTTTTGTGCATTAGTATGCACCATAATTAAAATTAATCAAAAAATGTAAAACAAAACTTGACGTATAGAAAGTTTTTTTTTTTTTTTTGCCTCAAACTGGCGTCACTGCCCAAAAATTTTTTGGCTTAACTTTTAGGTTAGTGTTTTATAGCTACATGTCTATAGTTTTTAATGGTCTAAGATCTTCTTAGTTCTGTCATTTGTATAGCGTTAGGTACAAATGTTTATAAGTGTAAATGTCTTTAGCATATGTTGAGTTTGCAGTCAGTACATGGAACAATCATGTATAATATATCTATAAAATGAGAAAACTTAAAAATTTTATTTTTACAATTAGAAATCTTTTTTGCTATATTATTAGTTTTTTGCTATAAATATATAAGCAAGGTTGAAAAAATTTCTAAACTTATTACACTAAGGAGAGGTCTCAAACCCCCCAAAACGACACTGATAACAGCACACTGAGCTATCAATGATATGCATTTAGAAGAAAAACAAACTTTATTATAAATCTTTTATAAGCTAGGTATGTGGAAAGTATGTGGAAAAGGTGCGCATGTTATTTTTTTTTGCTCTTATAGCAATTTTTCAGACTGAATTATTTTACTAAAAAATATTGAAGTAAATAAAGAATATGTATAGAAATGATGGGTGGGAAATAGATAAGTATAGAAATGGTAGGTTTGGTAAAGAACCGCATTTTATGGGTCCGGAAAGCTAGGATATCTACAAGAAAAGGTTAAAAAAGACTTTCAAAGATCCGTAATAAATTAAAATAAAATAAAATAAATAAAAATTTAATAAAATACAATAAAAAAGACTTTCAAAGATCCGTATTTTTATGGGCCCGGTAAGCTAGTTCTTAAATAATTTTCAAAATGATTAAGTTTTTGAATTCATTATCTAGCAATCCAGATAATTAGTAATTTTGCCTCTAAGATCAGGTTTTTTGCCTCTATGATCAGGTTTTTGCTTCAATGATCAGTAACATAGATTATTTAAGCTACTATTGTAATATTAGTAGCTTACATCTTCTTAAAATGATTTTCTATTATTTAGTTAATTGGAATTATGCATTGTTTGCATTAATACCAGGTGTTCTTCTCTTAGTATTGGGAATTATTTGGATTGTTCGAAAAACTAGGTACTCACTAATACTTTAACAAGTTATTTGTTTTCTGATTTTGTTTTTTGTTTTCTGATTTTGTTTTCTGATTTTATAACAAATTAAAAAACGTTAACTTTTAGGACCAGAAATTCAATAGATCATCAAACATAAAATTAATGGTACTTTTTATTGTTGTTTTTGTTTTTGTGTTATTTTGTTATTATAATTTATTTCTAATTTTTATTAAAAATTGTTATTAACATTTGTTAAAGTATTAAATAAGACAAATAAAATATAAAACAATAAATTAAAAAAATAAAATAAGAGAAAATTGTAATAAAGTAAATTAATCAAGTGTTAAACAAATGTGGATATACTTCTTTACTTATATAACTTTTTCTGTAAATATATATTATTGGTGACCAACTTGACGATTGACAATGTAAGTGTAATCTATTTTCGTTTTATTAATTGCATAATCGTTACCATGGAAGGTTCATTAATTACCCATGTAACACAGACTTATGTAATAGTTTGGCTTATAGATGAATATAAAAATTATATTATTTATTTTTACTCCTACAAACTGATTTACTGGGCTAAGATTTTTTTATGCCGCTTTTTAAAAAGTAGCATAAAAAAAAAAGCAAAGCATTGCTCCAAAATGCAAGTTATTTGGTTGGGAAAATATCTAGCTAATTTTAGACTAATTTCATTAATGTTAAAACCATGCAATTATTTAGGTCAATTATTTAATTTTTTTCCCTTGCAATCATCAAGTCATATGATTACTTTCATTGTTGTAAGATGCACATGATCATAATAGATAAATTATATAATTGTTTGCATCATAATCATCATTTCATTCTTTCTCTTGCAATATCTTTTTTTATTTTTAGTTTTTTATTTTTAAAGAATTTGAACTTAAGACATTGAAATGTCAGCGCCCCAGATTGTTATTAGTTACTTATTATATCTTTAATTTCTATCATTACTATTAATTTCTTTAATTTCATCAACTTCAACTTTTGTCTTTTCTTTTGTCATTATTTATTTTAACTTCAGCACCAAAAGGTATTGTGCAATTGTTAGTGATTGTACTAATTTTAGGTAGCACCCTACAATTAGCCTACCAGTAGGTAGTACCTTCCTATTAGTAGAATTGCTTAACAATGCAACTACTTTTTCAAGAGAAATGGATATCTTTAGCCACTTTTCCAAAATTGATTTCTCTTTCATCAACCCCTTTACTATACTTTTACAAAAATTTCACAGTGATTTGTCTGCTTTCAATCAACACTGAATTGATGCAGATGAATCACTTAACTGAATTGATGCAAATGAATCATTTTTGAAATCTCCTCAACTTTCTCTTGTTGGATGTAGTCGTTTGATACAGAAATAATTTAACAGCACAATACAGAATACTTTGAGTTTATAATTGAATATTTGCGATATAGTTGTATATTTGATGATACTTGAGTATACAGTTAAAAAATGAGACCAATATAGTGTGAATCAAAGTTTATGTTTTTTTTTTTTAAAAGAAATATTAACTTTAGTTGCGTTTTCATAGTAGGGGGAAGAAGTTGATTCAGTAATTAATCTATTTTTATTTTTAAATTGAGGTTTTTTGCCCATCATTAAAAAATTATGAAATTTAAAATGTTAAAATTTTTTTTAGTTTTATTTTAAAATCTTTTGGCATTTTAATTTTACAATGATATCAAATATTTAAACCCTCCGAAAATAAGGGGGTTTGTACTAAAAATGAGGGGGATTGTGTTCAATGCTTTTTTGACTGTGCTCAAATTTGCAAATAAAAATATGTTATTTTTTAATTTTATATACCCATAAATAAGCTTACGATAGTGAGCAAAAAATAATAGTTTATATATGTACATATAAAAAAAAATTGTGTTAGATTTTTTACGTATCGTTTTAAACAGTAGATAAAAAAGGTAATTTACATTTTGTTAATATTGCAAAAAACATATTACAAAATATTTTTTGACTTTTGTTATACCTTGGCCCACTGTGAAGAAATTAGATTACATTTTAGTAATTTTTTTTTGTCAGTGACGTTGTATTGCTTCAAGGTTTCTTGTTTTAAATTCATAAAAATAAAGTAGCATTTTTGTTTATATAAACGGGGGGTTTATATGAACCTCTAAAAACTTCTGTAGAATATTTTACAAGTTGTTTAGAGGTTTATGTGATTCTCTTAAAATCTATGCAAAAAGTTAGTGAACTTCAAAGATGCACTAAAATAAGCTTAAGTAACAAACGTTTTGTGAACAAACACCCATTACACCAGTACACCCAGTAAAATCTATATGTACACTGCTTCTGTTATCTTAAATTGACTGTTACCTATAATATAGAACTGTGCATGATTTTTTTTTCATCATAATATTTTGATATTATAATTAGTCAGTACCTAGATAATGACATAATTTTTATTTTTAATTTCTTTCTCTTGTTTCTAAATCATTATTTTTTCGTTAATATAAACATATTGATCTAAAGTTATACTGGATTTAATTCAGTAGCAAATTGCAAAATTGATTAGAAATATAAAATATTTCACTGATATTTTGCAAAATGTTGTTCTTTTGATGAAATATGGTTCTTGCGTTTGACTAGTTAGGAGAAATCATTGGGTTCATCATCATTGGGTGTATCTCATCACCATTGGATGCATATCATCATCATTGGGTGCATCTAGTTTATTTCATTACTAATGATGTAACATATTGACTATTAAATAATTAATTTTATAAAGCTATCTTTATATTGAAATTTTGTTGTAAATTAAAAGTAATTGTTGCAGTTTCAGAAGGTGTCACAAGCTTTACAGTTTCAGATGGTGTCACAAGCTTTACAGTTTCAGATAGTGTCACAGGCTTTACAGTTTCAGATGGTGTCACAAGCTTTACAGTTTCAGATGGTGTCACAAGTTTCAGATGGTTTCACAACAATCATTTTATAAAATGTATATGGGATTAGAAAAATTAGATGACTCAGATGTTGTGTATATTTATTTGTTGTGTATATATATTTTTTTTTCAGGGGGCAACACATCAAATTGTTTAATTTTTTGACTGCTTAAAAGAAGTCATTATGAAGCTTAAAAATAATTTAAAACATTAACGTGATCACATGGTTTGATTGGTGTTTTTTTTTAAGCTGAAAAGAATGTGTTAATAATCATTAAAAAAAACTTTTCAGACAAAGTACATGATTTAACCGCTTATTAACTTTTCACCGCTCATCAACTTTTCACCGCTCGACTTCATCAGTTTTTTACCGCTTTTATGCATTAAATTTTCACCACTTGGCTTCATCACATTATCACACCTTGACTTCATCAATATTTTACCGCTTTTATTTATCAACTCTTCGCCGTTTTTTCTTCATCAACTTATCACCGCCTGTCTTTGTTAACTTTTTAACGCTTGTTTTCATGAATTTTTAACTACTTCTATGCATTAAAATTTCACCGATTGTCTTTATAACAACACCGATTGTCTTTATAACAACACCAATTGTCTTTATTAACAAAGTATTATATCTCCATATAATACTTTGTTATATGAAGATATTTTATTTAATGTTTAGTATTTTTCACTTGATAAAATATTTTTAACTTCATTGTTTCTTATATAAAATATACTCTACTTCAATGTGTCAGATTTTCCATGTGCATGTTTTGAAGAGCTGAATCTTGTTCATCCACAAATTCTAATCATTAGTTTCAAATCACCTAAAAATAACAACTATATGCAAAATGCTTAGAGTAAAATATACCAAAATTATTAATTACAAACGTATTAGTGTGCTTAGATATATTAATAATTCCATATAGTTATAGGTTACCGATAAATCTACTAAACGATTCAAGTTTAATCTATAAATGTTGTAAATAAAATTTTACATGTCTCGTCTTATTTAGATTTTGTTTCAAATTTAAAACGATATTTATCTAGAATCGTTTTAAATGCTGTTTGCAATTTCTTTGATCACGTAACTATGTGTTTTTGCATACTTTTATGTTTTACATAATAACTACATTTGTAAAAAAACGCTTGGTAAGTAACTTCTAAGGCACTTTGTTTGTAAATAAGTATGATCAAGGATTGTTTTTATCGTCTCAGCATAAAAATTCTTTGTGATTTCAGTAGAGTAACAAAACCCAATTAAGTGAACGTAACAACACAAAAAATATTTTTTGAATTACAGAATTTAAATTTTTTTTTTTAATTATAGAATTTAAAAATTTACATCAATAACTCAAAATTTAACTGAAATACTGTTATATTGGGCATTATATACTTTTAAGCTGTACGCTTTTATACTATACGCTTTTTCTGTTTTGTTACAGGGTGGTGTGTTTATTCGCTGTATTGTGGATAATAAAAAATGAAAAGAAGACGTTGAATAAGTTTGATGAGTTTGAATAAGTTTGATGGAAATTTTGAAAGTTAAAGTTTGGACCGAAATCTTGTGTTAAATTAGATATGTTTACTTTAACGAAGCTGACAATCGATGGCAATTCCAGACGAACGACGATTTCAATAATTTCTTACATAATATGATATTGCATATTATATAATAAGACGAACTGCTCTTTCATTGGCTTGGATCAGCCTCAACAATAAAAATCTAATTTATCAATTTCATTAGTTTAATCAATATTATTATATTTTTTTTGGTTACTCATAAAATAATCATTAACTATTTAGATAATTATTTTAGTTTATATTTTTTTACACCATCAAACCCGACCCTGTCAGTAGCTGGTTTTGAAAAAACTAAGCATTTTTCAAACATCATTTCTCTCCGTTTTCCTATACTTGGCTTAAGTCATTTTAAATAAAAAAAATTTTAAATAAAGTTTTAACAAAAACAGTTTTAAGAATGATCAAATTTTTAATAAAAAAAATGAAACAAACAAATAACATTAAACCCTTACTTAACCATCCTGTTTTGGAGAACGACCTAAGTAACTTCAGCTTCTTGCGAAAACAAAAAATCCCTGTTATAAATACATTTGCTCTGAACAGAGTATTTAGATCTCTGTATTACTATTATTTTGATAACTTTACTATAAATAACTAGTATGTTTAGGGGCGTTTTTAACAATCCTTTAGATATATTTTTTGTTTTCATTTGAGAAAAGAAGTGAGGCCAGGAAAGCCAAAGAAATTTATGCATATCAAATATAAGGTTCAACGGCGCCTGTTTTTAGCATTTACATATATAAGTTTTCTTTATTTTGAGAAGTGAGGTAGCCGAAGAAGTAAATTAATACGCATACAAATATTTTCTAAAGATGAGTTTCTACTCTCATCCCTTTATCTACGGAAACGGAAAAATAATCACGTGAGCATGCGCAGCCTTCCTTCTGACAAATTAAAACTTTTATTACGCATGCTCGCGTAATTATTTTTTCTTTTCCATTTTCAATTTTCGAGTGGAAACTCGCCTTTAGGCTATTAATGTGAATTTTTTGGAGTTCCCAGCCGACACAAACACGTCTTTTAGACGTTTTTTTTTCGCATCTAAAATGTTAACACCTTTAGATGTCTAAATTCAGATAAATGTCATATACATAAAATTTTCAGTGGAACCAGAGGCGGAAAGTAACGAATTGCACTTACTCACATTACTGTAATTGAGTAGTTATTTTGTGAATTTCTTCTTTTTAAGTATTTTTTAAATGTGTGCTTTTACTTAAGTATTTTTTTTTCTAAAGTATTATACTTCGCTTATGGCGATACTTTTTACAGGCGAATCCGTATTTTGGCCTGGGAGCGGACAAAGTTACGGAAAATATAAAAAATGGCTAGTAAAGTTTGCGAACTAATCCATTCTTTTTAGTTAGTTTACTAAATTTTAAAAGTACTGCATTAATGCAAAAAATGTCTATTGCAGTGTTTATCAAGAATCGTCAAATTTAAATGTAACATTTTGAAAAAAAGAATAAAATACAATATTTTTCAGAATAATTAGTTGTAATTATTTAAAATCTAAATCACAAAAAAATGAACAAACTTTAAAATAATGCAGAGGAAAAAACATCACAATACACATCAAGTAAAAAGAAAAAAATATCAAAATATACATCAATAATGTTATTAAAAAATGTACATAATAATTTTTTAATGTTATACAGATAAATTTAAAACCTTCAATGCCTGTTCCTTGTTGGACTTGGGTGAAAAAAGCAAATAATAATTTTTAAGAAATATGTTTGATAATATTGTACCATGTTTCTTTAACATATTAAAGTTATATATATCAATTATCATCATAAAAGTATTACACAATGACTTTCTGCACATTTTATTTTTCTCAATTTCAAAAATAATGAAACAAAAAAATACCTACTGCACACAGCAATCTAGGGGTATATTCAATCCACCGCGGTCTATAGTTTTTGTATAGTCTCTATATAAATATTATTTTTGTATAGTCTCAAAAAAATATCAAAGAGATGAAGTGCTACTTTTTATGTCAACTAATTGTCTTTCTTAGGCAATCATAATATGATACCATTTCATCCGCCTTATCTACTCCTTATAACGTCTCCCTGTTTTAGTTTTGCTTTTGTACATTCTTTTGGATTTGGCTTTAAGTCAGTTCTTAAAGTACCACAAATGTATGTTTTTTGATTTATCATGTGCTTTGTTAGTTCAAAGAAGTTGTAAAAGTTAACGGTGTACAGATGATAACCTTTTCCCAGAAATTTTTCCATCAAATCTAAAACAATAGCTCCCGTTTGAAGCAACAAATGTTTATTGAGAGTTGCTTCGCTAGAGTAGATTTTTACTTTTAGTACAATACCATCTGATTTGCAAAACTCATAGAATTTGAAACCATACTAACGTCTTTTATTTTTCACATACTGCCTGAATACAAGACGTCCCTTCCAAAGCACCATTGATTCATTAATTGATATATTTTTATTAGGACAGTAGATATTATCCATTGTATTATTTAAGTGATTGAGAAGTCCAATAATTTTATACAAGCGTCTGCTACTCGAACCTTCATTGCTAATAAAATGTTAAAACCGTAACATTAGTTGAAATTTGTTTCGCGGTATTATTCTAGAAAATAAGTGAAATCTATAGAAACTGTTCATAGACCAGTAGTGTTGTAAAGATGGCATTTTCACACACCCCATATGAAGAAGAACTCCAAGGAACTGCCGCATATCTTCTAAATTTATTGGTTTTCGATCTTTAAAACGTGAGCTTCTTCTGAGCGGACGTTGCTAATTTATTTCCGTTGCGTAGCGATTAGTTTCAATTATCATAGTATTCATAAGCTCTTCTGTAACAAATAATCTAAAAAAATCTAATGGTTTCTTCCTCTCTATGTTTATCTTCAAACCAGGATTGGCAGTAAATTGAATTTGTTTTACAATATCTGGCTCATCTTTCGATTGGTTTGAATTTCTAGATGGATTTGTTTCAGAAGGTGTTTCGTCAGGCAAAATATTACTTATAAGATCTTCTTGTTGAGATTTGTTTTGATTTTGTCTATAAGCAAGACCACCCGTTGTTCTAGCTCTTTTTGGCGGCATTAAAACATCTTCTGCAGTGGCTGCTAGACGAACGTCTGTTAACTGATTGTCATCACTTTCTTCAGTGTTATTATCTTCAGAACCTGATTCTGATGCAGTCAAGCTTGAAGATGTACTAGTATAAGCAAAAAATGAATCCGAATCTTCAATATCATCATCTTCACTACCCTCACAATCTTCCATAATCATATGTGCCGATTCAATTGTGGAATATCTGTGTTGAGCTAATATGATATAGATAAGTTACTATATTCATAATTATAATTCATTGAATTTTTATTTAAATTACTTATCTATAAAACACATTAACATAATAAATTAAAAAACATTTTATTGTGTACTTTAAATTTTTTTTTCACACTATTAATAACATGCAGTATAATGTAGTTATAAAATATATTTTAGCTTCTAGTCTAAAAAACACAACAATTTAAAATTAAGAAAAAACTAAATAAATTACCTTTTTTACTCATAATAACTGCCAATGTGCATATGCATGTGCAAAATAATTGAAACACTATTTATAATGATAATGCATCAAATATTATTTGATGTGGTGACTAGTAATGATGACATTACTAATTTGAAGTACACAATAAAATTTGAAGTACACAACAAAATGCGAATGCTTAATGCATCAAATAAGCTACATTACTAGTCACCGCAATTAGCTACACTCATTACGGTGTTACAAGTAAACTCGTACTTCGGCACTAGAGAAAAAAATCTCTTCTCCATTGCCAAAGTACGAGTGTACTCGTAGTGCCTATTTTTTGTCAGTTATATTCAGAACATAAAATACTACAAAATTATTTTAGATTAAATAATATTTTATTTATTGAAATGTTGATATCTAGCCTTGGCAATGAGAATGAAACCGCGCAAAACAGTCTCGGCAAAAATTAATCATTGCAGACATTATGGCTTGGCTAAGTATTAAAGCATAGTTTAAAATAGCTCGGCCACGAATGTGTTGACCGATTTAAAAAAACTGGTTAAACTAGTTATTAATAAGATGAATAACTAGTTACAAGAGTACAATTTTTTGTTACTTTTTCCACCTGTGAGTGGAACAATTAAAAAATATTATCAGAACATAATAAATTTAATTTCTTAAAAAAAAGTCTGCAGAAACAAACCTCCGTTATACTTCAAGATTTAAAAGTATTTTTGACATCTATTTTAGGATTATTAAACGCAGAAAAATCGTTTAGATTTTGTTTTTATAAACTATAAAAAGCATTAAAATTTGGTAGGCTCTCTTGTCAAACCGTTATTCCGACGCTGTCCTTAAGGTCCGAAAATGTAAAAAAACGACTCATCATTAATTTATTCTAATTATACGTAAATATGCGTTACCGCCATTATGGAGGACAAACAAACGTAAACAAATAGTTCGGCAATGTCAACAGAAAGCGAACATTTGTCTAAGCTTGATTCTAATGCAAAGCAAAGATACTTAGAAAAAATAAGCTTTATAAACCACGTTGACCCATATCTTCTTAAAGATACTGATTTCTCTGATAATATAGATAGTTATCCAAATGTTACATATCAGGATATTGTTAACTATTTTTTATTTACTCCAAGTCCTCTTACTAAGGATCAGTTAAAAGCATACAAAGCTCTTGATTCTTATAATCAATTTGTATCAGGTTGGGTTATCAACTCTGGTGTGAAATTATTTGAGAAATATGTTCTTATTCATGGCAGAGTAGGTTATTTAATTATTAGTTCAATATTAAAATAGAAATAGCTTTCTTGTTTTAATTTTTTGTCCTAATTTTTTTAGGTGAAACACTCTAAAAAAATGAATGATGTACCATTACATCCATGAATTATTTCAAAGAAGTCAGGAAATATAGTTTGTGCACATTGCAATTGCATGGCTGGTCTCGGAGGAAGCTGTTCACATGTTGGTGCGGTACTATTTCATATTGAGTGTCCAGTTAAAATTAGAAGTTATAAAACATGCACTGATGAAAAAGCTTATTGGTTACTACCAAGCTCTAAAAAGATAGAATTCAAGCCTGTTTTAGATATTGATTTTACATCACCCAAATCTTTGCAATGCAATTTAAATAATAAAGTTCAAGGCATATCCTATGACAAAAAAATAGCACATAGAAAAAGTGTTTCTATTCCAACAAAAGAT